AGAATAGGGCGCAGCAAAATGGCTGCCAGGCTACCTACCTGAATCAATAGATCCCAAGCACTGTTCAGCAGAGCCATGGAAGAAGCTGCTCCACAGCAACCTGTAACTGAGGGCAAAAGGTTGCATAACATAGCCAGGATTTCTTTTCTGTGTTGAGATAGAAAGCAGCGTGAGGAGTGATGTACTGTGTTTTGAAAACTGCAAGACCAGAATGAGGTACTAATTGTTAGGTCGCCATCAGAAGTCTCCCAGCCATTCTCTTCCTAGGCTGCCCCTTGACCCATCTCAGCTGGTCCAAATTCCGTCAGTCTAAGCAATAGCACCTTGCTCCTATGCTCTGCAGTATTGATTCAATACTGTTTTTGTGCCACTTACTGCTTTTAACAAATGATATTATCTAAGAAACATTCATTGAGCATCTACCATGCCTGGACAGTGGATTATTTACTGTCTGTTAAACACAAAAAACAGAAAACAGATGTTCCTTGAGGATAGGGATTGGCCCACCCATTTTCCATGCGCAATAGATAATCAGTAGATCTTATTTAATTGATTAGATAGGATCACATGGAAAGTATCCTGTAAAGACCACCAGAATCACAAGTTAATTGGAAAGCATGAGGTGTGGGTATTCCTGGTAGTTTTCAACACCTAGCTCACCTTCTCCGTCTTCCCATTGTCTTCAACTGCTTAGTGTTCATCACAGTCATTTACACACACTGTTTTCAGACCTGTCCCTCGTCATTTACTCTTATATGCCATTCTTTGTGTCCCCTCATCCATTTTGAGGGAACCCTTTTTACCAGCAGAGTTGAAAACCCATCTCACACAGTGCTGTGCTTCTCAATGCTGATTCTGACTCTTCCCTGGGTGCTTCCAAAGGGTGTGACTTGTAGAAGCCAGCATAGGTAATCTTCATTCCAGTAACGGCTACCATTTACTCAGTTGGGTAATCTGTTTAACAGTTCCCATGTAATACTTCATTATTACGGGAATCTTCCAAAGTTGGAATGGAACTGAGACTTGGAGAACTTGAGCAATTTACCAGTCAGATAGCCACTAAAAATGGCAGAACCAGGACATTCATTCAGTCCTGACGTGCTCTAAAGTTCATGGCATGGACCATCACACTGTGCCACGTTATACCTGTTTTATTGTATTTATTTATTTATTTTGAGGCAGGGTCTCACTGTTGTTGCCCAGGCTGATCTCAAACTCCTGGGCTCAACCCATCTTCCTGCCTCAGCCTCCTGAGTACCTGGGATTACAGGCACATGCCACAAATAGACAAAAGCTTACATCCTGTTGTAGATCTTAGCTCCTAGTTTTAGGTCGGTCTGATATTCAAATTGTGCTAAGTACACAGTATAGAACCTTAGTCCTATCTTCATAAACACCCTGTCTTCAATGGCTACCTCCTGAAGTTCTTCACGTGCTCATTATCTGCTCATGAAGCTTGATAAGGAAGCTTGGATGGGCCTTAGGACTTGTTTGACTTTGGTCAGGATTACATGTTTCAACTGAAAGAAGAGCAGAGGTCCGAGGTTTCTTAGTGCCAGCTTGGCATTTTGTGCAAAAGCCTGGAATGTGATTTTTAACGTCTTGAGATATTAACAGTGCAATGGCGTTTCCAGCACTTCCTGCCCTCACATCTTTCATGTAGTTTATATCTGGGAAAGATCTTGGCAAGTTTGAGAAGTGGAAAGGAAGCCAGTATAAGCAGAGTAGGGGCACAATGGCATGAAATGAGGTCAGAGATGGGAAGAAGCAGGAGAGAGTTTGGATGTTACTCTTGAGCAGAGAGAAGGGCTTGGAGGGCAGAGTTACAAAGCAGAGGGATGACCTGGTTCTATTGATGATTAAAAGGTCAGTCATCTACTGACTGTCCTTGAACTCTTGTGTCTACTACTTCTGTCCTCCAGAACCTTGCTCCTCTGGTTGGCCATCTACCCTATACCCTAGTATCTGGGGATATCAGCTTAGAGTCTCTCTTCTCTTCTGTTTTTTTTCCTGATTCTGTGGACTTCTCTGGAAAGTAGTTTACAAGAAACCTGTAACATACGTGGAGTAAATGAATAAAGCATTTCCCTTATTCAGAGTGCTGGGGGGATGGGAGGAGGGGTTAAGGGGAGGGGAAGTACTCCTTGGGTGTGTTTGCGAGACTCCTGGAGAACCAGGCACCTAATCTCACAGAGACTTGCTTTCCACAAATGCCAAATGAGAAGCACCCATGGGTTATTTTATAGAATGCCACAAAAATGAGGGGCAGGGAATGGGGTAGGTGGATGAAGTATTCAAGTTCATGTGCTGCAGAAGGTCATAAAGGTAGAGATCTGGAATTGGGCCAATGACTTAGACTCTCAGGAGGTCCTTGGTGAAGTGGTGGGAGCACAGTAGCCAGACTGTGGTGGGTGAGGTCTGTCAAAGCTGATTGGGATACAGTGTTATAGATGATCATAAGTGGCTCATGGCTGGGTGGCTGGGATGGGAGAGCCAGGTGGTGGAAGACTGGGGGAACCAGAGGTGGGCATGGTTATCAGGAGGTGAGAGTACATTCACAGCCTCCAGGCTGGAAGGATGAGCTTACCCAGAAAATGTGGGAGAAGGTTCTCTGGAGCAAGATTTTCTGGAAGGTGAGATTTTGTTCCCTTCCACATTTATCAAACATCAGTTGAGGCAGACTAGGGTTACAAACTTTAGGCAAAACGTGTGCCTTCTGGGCACCTAGAATCCAGTGTTCAGAGTGCATTGACTCACCTGGTAACCAGAAAAGGCAGGTGTGACTGCTGAGGCTATTTCAGAGCAGCACAGCAGCAAGGGGAGGGCTTATCCTTCTGCACAGGAAGCCCCGATTTCTGAAGCTGCTGCAACAGCACTGAATTCTTGGGGGAGACTGACAGTCAGTCAACTTGCTGGATCAGTAGCTTGAACAGAAGACCCCGCTTTTAAAAATGAAATAGTGCATAGAGCCCCAATATATGACAGATACAAAGCTTTCTGTCTTTTTTTTTTTTTTTTAGTTGGAGTCTCATTCTGTTACCCAGGCTGGAGTGCAGTGGCTCGCTCACAGCCACCGCAGCCTCCACCTGCTGGGCTCAGGGAGTCCTTCCAAGTAGCTGGAACTACAGGCGCAAGCCACCACACCTGGCTAATTTTTTTTATTTATTGTAGAGATGAGGTCTCACCAAGTTGCCCAGACTTTTCTTGAACCCCTGGTCTCAGGCAATCCTCTCACCTCGGCCTCCCAAAGTACTGAGATTGCATACAGACTTGATCCACTGCGCCCAGCCAAAAGTTTTCTGTCGTAAATGTATTTTGTAAGGTGAGATTTATAAGAATTACTTTTAAAAGCTATTAGAGGAACAGTTAACTGCTTTTCTGTTGTTGTTTTGTTTGTTTTTTTGAGTCAGAGTCTCATTCTGTTGCCTGGGCTGGAGTGCAGTGGCACGCTCACGGCCACTGCAACCTTGACCTGTTGGGCTCAGATGATCCTTCCGCCTCAGCCTTCCAAGTAGCTGGAACCACAAGCACATGCCACCACACCCAGCTAATTATTCATGATTTATAGTAGGGATAAGGTCTCGCCATATTGCCCAGGCTGGTCTCTAACCTGCAGACTCAGGCAATCCTCTCACTTTGGTCTTCCAAAGTGCTGGGATTATAGTTACGAGCCACTGTGCCCAGCCAGTTAACTGGTTTTTTTTTTGTTTTGTCTTTTGTTTTTGAGTTGGAGTCTCACTCCGTCACCCAGGCTGGAGTGCAGTGGCATGCTCACGGCCACCCCAGCGTTGACCTGCTGGGTTCAGATGATCCTTCCACCTCAGCTTTCCAAGTAGCTGGAACTACAGGCATGTACTGCCACGCCTGGCTAATTTTTTTATTGTAGAGATGAGGTCTCGCCAAGTTGTCCACTGTTCTCAAACCCATGGGCTCAGGCAATCCTCTCACCTTGGTCTCCCAAAGTGCTGGGAAATACAGTCTTGAGCCACGGCACCCGGCCCAGTTAACTGTTTTAATGAACAAGAAAAGTGGAAATCAAATTATAGATGACAAATGTGGTCTTATCTTAGCTATAGATAGCATTTAGCTTACTTCTTTTGCAAGTGGTAGATGTTGTTTAGCCTTTCTTTACCTTACCACTTTGGGGATAGTCTTCAGTCAGATACATGGCAAAAGAAGCTTCATTACAAGGACGGTAAACATAAAAAGCAGCTTACCAGGGCAGTTAGTGTGTCAAGTTAAGTTAATGTGTCAGAGGCTATAGTTTATTTGAATGTGCTTTTTGTGTTATGGTTTTATAAAATAAAATTTTAAAAAATTGAAATTTTAACCAGACATTTGTTGGACACTTAAGGCACCTACCTAGAGCTCTGTGGGTCTCCATAACAATTTGAAAATTATTTACAAAATAGAATTCCTGCCCTCTCTTTGATCAGAACAGCCCTTAACTGGTGCCTGTCCTTTCGGCAGCAGTTTTAAGATACACAAAGCTGGGCTTCTTGCCCCAGTGATCACCCCATGGAGAGAATAGGGAATGAACAATTCAGGGGGACATTGTTGAGCTCAGGGGAGGTAGCATAGTGAGTGAGGTCTTATTGACAGCAATTCCATACCATGTGAATTGGGGTAGAAAAAGATTTTTTTTTTAAACTATACTGTTTTGTGTGACTTGACTTTTTTTCAGAGTTAAGTGTTCATTTCTGTCCTCTTGGGATTAGTAGCCAATATGAAGTGAGGAGAGGCTGCTTTGTGCTTAAAATCTGTTTTTCTTAACTTGCGTTCTTGCTAGCTCAGGTGTGTACCTGGCTCATTGGTAGCAAACACTTTGTGTCTTTGGCACTGCCTTAATTTTAGCTACAAGCACTGAAAAAAAAATAGATTAGTCCTTTAGAAAAATGTATTTGTTCCTTTGATTAGGATAATGTTTGTGATTCAGTGTAAACCAACTTTTTCTTATTGCAGAGAAATGCCAACTTTGTCTTTTTTCTTCATCCCTACAGGTTGGTGACATTGTGAAAGTCACAAGGATGAATATAAATGGCCAGTGGGAAGGTGAGGTGAATGGGCGCAAAGGGCTTTTCCCCTTTACACACGTCAAAATCATTGACCCTCAAAACCCAGATGAAAACGAGTGATTGATGTTGCCCTGTTTCCTGCTGCTTCATCGTTCTGCCTGTCATAGTCTTCTTTGAAGTGGGAAAGCATTCTCTCTCATAGGCAAGTCACACTGTATTGCCGATGTCCAGCTTTCTGCAGACTGGCAGTCTCATACACATTTGGAATGCACACAGCGGCTGCCTCCTGGCGTTTGTATCATAGTTGTATTGTCAAAGAGTAGCCGATTTTAGAGTTCTTTTGGATCATAAACTGGAAAAACTGGTGGAAGCACACAAGTGAAGAGAAGTTGATGAGGAAAGGGTCTTCCTTCTCATCATTGCCCTGTTTGTACTTGGGACTGATTCTGTCATGTTCATCGGAGAAAGCTTGAGGCCATGGCGAGATACTGCACGTTGCCTTCCACAAAGCAGTGGCTCAGCTGCCATCTTGCTTATCTCTGGACGACAGAGGAGGTGAACCTTAAAGAAGAGAGAATTATGTCCTAAGTCCCCAAAATCTGACTTTTCTTTTTTCTTTTGGTTTGGTTTTGTTTGGGAAGACTAATTAATTGACTTGTGTGTTTTGAACAGGTTAAGTAGCAGGTTGGATTTTATGGTATTTCAAGGAATGACATGACATGTGCCTCTGAGCTTCTAATCTGAAGCTGCTGTAACTAAAGGAATATGAAAAAAACAACCCTGAAGCAGAGGCCTTTATTGTCTTTGTTGCCAGTAGTACTTTGTTTTGCCATATGGCAAACAACATACAAAACGATTAGCTGTTGTATGCCAGGCTATGTGCACAGCCTCTTGGATTACTTTGTCCCCCAAAGCATCAGAGTTGAGGGGTGCTTTGGGGAAACCTTTGCTTACTTTGCCAGTAAGAAGAGCAGGGGGTAGGGGGGCACTTGGGCAGTTTTCTGTCAAGCTTTTCAGTGAATGCTCCCGTTAAAGTTAGGACTTAAATTTTTTTTTGAGTTGGAGTCTTGCTCTGTCGCCCAGACTGGAGTGCAGTGGCCGCTCCCGGCCACCGCAGCCTCGCCTGCTGGGCTCCAGCGATCCTTCTGCCTCAGCCTTCCAAGTAGCCAGAATTACAGGCATGCGCTGCCATGCCCGGCTGATTTTTTGATTTATTGTAGAGATGAGGTCTCGCTGCCCAGACGAGTCTCGAACCCGCGGGCTCAGGCAATCCACTCACCTCAGCCTCCCAATTTTTTTTTTTTAAGTGAGGTTGTTTATAGAAATCATTGGATTCAGTAGTGAATCATTAAATTCTACTCACTGAAGCCCAGACCTCCCTGTCCTGGTCCAACTTCATCACATTGCCAGATAAAGTTGGTGCTGCTAATACTGGTTCCACAGTCTAGGCATTGTGATGCTCCCAAGCAAAGGAAACACAAGCTCTGAAAATTGGTTAATGCATTTGTGTTTTAGTGACTAGGGAGAAGCATTAACCACTTACAGTTTGTTGATGTTAAAGCATTTCCCTGTTAGCTGAAAAAGGCATGTTCTTACAAGCCAGTTAGTACAAATATACAGCTGATCCATCATCTGCTGCACATAGCAGACTAGAACCTTTATGCAGTTCAGTCTATTCTCCCATCTGGACACTGGTAAAGATAAGCCTCAACTCATAGTGAACACAGCAGACCTAGAAATGTAGCAAAATCCAATGAGTAACTCTATCACTGAGCATCTTCTATAACTATGGCCCTGTCTCTGGAAGTTCTTAGGTTTTGAGGTTTAGAGCAATATATTCAGCTGACCAAATCAGCAAAACAACATTTTTTCTATTTGTTTCTCGGTTTATCTTTAAATCAATCAGTATTCCATCAGACAATAACTGCCATGTTAATGAATCTTGAGAGTTTCTGTAACAAAATTAATGGTCAGTTGGGAAAAATATCACTGTGGCTGCCCATCTGTGGTTTTCCTCTAAAAGGGCTTGGAGGTCAGCTTTTCCTACCCAGTGAGAATTGTGTCTGCCTCCTGCTCTGCAGTCTGTCCATTGCAGTTGCCTTTACTGGTTAGGTCTATCAGGTCATCTTTTTCTGAGTTCAGGCCCCCAGCCTAGTACTCATAAGTGGCAACCATGTGATGGAGTCCCCAAACTCTGCCTAGAGACAGCGTTTGCCTTTTGGCCAGTGACTAGGTTCACCCCTACCCTTTTTGGACCTAAGTGGAATGTCTAGCAGAGGAGAATGTATGCCTTGTTCAAGGAGGGCACAAACCCTAAGGCCTTTTCAACCTGTGTTAATTGAAGAGCCTGACACCTTTTGATTATAGCAGTTGACTCAGAGCACAGGAAGTATGTGCTCTTGTACTGTTTTGGAAAACAAGGTTTCCTTTCAGCCATGTCTACTGACCAATAGCTAGACCCACCTTGTGTGGGCACTTCAGAATCAAAACACCCCATAAACCCAGAGTTTGGTTTTAATGATGAGTCACCTCATTACTTTGGTCCCTGAAAATGTTTCCAGGGCTGCCAAGAGATTCAGAACTCAAAAAACAGTGAGACTTAAGTTCTGAACTCTCAAGTTGTGTGCCAAAAGTAGTAACTTTTTTTTACTTAGAACTTTATCAGTTTTCTAATCAGGCAGGGAAATTCTTTTCACACTAAATGTATGAAAGCAGCACCTCTGCCTCGGCTTCATGCCTAGGTTCCTCACTGGTCTGGGAAGATGTGTGCGATCATAGAGCAATGCGAATCTTACCCAGAGGGTGAGTTTCCCTTAATGATCGTTCATTACTGCTCCTTGCTCTGCTCTACTGTTTAAGAAAAGATTTGAATGTTAAATTAACTCACTATGGTTTTTCACCTGGAAAGGAGACAAATTACATACTAGAGGGCATTGGGCTTTTGATTAAAAACTTGTTTATCCTTGGAAGGACCTCCGGTACAAGAGTCATCTTTGTCATGTCTGTGCTGTGTGGCACCATCTGACAATGTGGTTAACAAAGAGGAGGATGCATTGACCAGCTGCCATTTGACGACCTTGGTCACCCGGTCAAGATACCTTCTGTGCTCATGATTGGAAAACTGAAAGGAGGAAAGGACAGCTGTGCCCTCCTTGCAGCTCACACATCCTTGGCACTGTGCTAACTTTCCTTTACAGCTGTTTACAGACAAAGCAGGCCTGCAGTGGACGGCTACTGCTCTTGTAATGTTTGCTCAGAGGAATATGAACATTTTATTTTTGAAAAGGGATGATGTGGTTTTGTGTCCGGTGTTTATAATTTAATCCTTTAATATTATGGTCATTAATCTCTTAAAAATGAATGAATTCTTGATTGTTTTAACACAGTACCTAAGACTAATGCTTTCTGTGGACACCACTGAGCTCTGCCTTGACTCTACCCTCTGGGACCGGAGAACTATGTCCCTGGTAACTGCTGTCGGTGTGGATACTGTGCTGGTTGTATATTCTAAAGAAGGACAGTTCTCTGAGACAGGATCGTTGTCCCTACAGGAGGAACAGTGGCCTTGCTTTTTAGACGGTCTTCACTGTGTGTTTTAAAACAACAACGTAAAACTCTTTTGACCTGTAACTTAAAGATCATAAACTTCAGGCAATAATATTTTCTGTGTAAGCTTTTAAAATTATTTTTTGGGATCATAGCTTGTTTTATTTTGTGCTATAAAATTAACAGTATTAAATGACTTATATTCTTAGAATACATCGAGTGTCTTTTCTTAACAGATTAGTGCCTTTTTATTTTTGTATTCCATTTTACGTTACTGGTCCCAGCATCAAAACCCTTGTTTCCATGGCCTGTTTGTACATTGTCTCAATAAAACTTGCATCAGCCGGTGGTGGTAGCAGCTTCAGTGTTTCAGTGTCTCCTCAGTCAGCCCCCACCAGCCTCCCAAGCAGTTCGGCAGTGGTGAGTGAAGTCTTTGGTGTCCTCAAAGACCTGGCTGTGCTGCTGCTGACCAAGAGCTAGAGTAGGGTCTTGCATCACCCTCTCACACTTAGGCACCCAGAAAGAACCACTTGTTGGAGTCTCCCTCCAAAAGAGAAGAATCTGCTTCCCAGAGCACCTGCAGAGTAGGTGCTGTACAGGAGCCTGGTGCTTGGTCTTGGCCTTATGAGCATGAGGCAGTAGTCCCACACATTGTACCACCATGGGGAACTTGGATGTTTTTCCTTCTAGGCACCCATATCTGAAGACTTCTATTAAATATTTGTTACATGAGCTAACCAGAGTTGAACAGTTTCAAGTAGAAGTCATGGAAAGCAGGCAGCCTCATCCCAGGCCAGGGTATGACATCTGTCTGGTTTTCTGGGGGGGTTTTTTTGTTTGTTTTTTTGAGTTGGAGTCTCACTCTGTCGCCCAGACTGGAGTGCAGTGGCCGCTCCTGGCCACCGCAGCCTTGACCCGCTG